TTTATCCATAAAATAAAATTCAATCCCTCAAACCTCTTTTAAGTTTTAAGTCTTCTGCTCTTCTTCTGTCTAGCTCTCTTAACATTTTGAGGTTGTTTTTTGAGAGTGTAGCGTATAGCAGACACATCAAAATGACAAAGCACAAAGGACACAGATGAAAAATCCAAATTTCGCAGCTGGGATGAAACGGAGAAGCCCATGGGATTGTGGGTAAGCTCTGGGCGGAACAGAAGGCAAACAAGTGGATAGAGACGGATCTGAGCTGGAGAGCCATGATAACAGGCAGGCGCTATTTCCTACCGTCGAGTCTTCTCTCGGTCTTTTCCTCCTTTTCATCACTTTGTTTAGATTCATTCGTTCCTTGCATCTACATTTCTACTGTATCCTCTTAGTTCTTTGTAAAAAACTGATTATGGACGCTGAACATGAGTAAATTACATTGTTAAGCTTTAGCGAGAATTTACATGCAAATCAAGTAATCATTATGTGTATCAATTACAGGCCATTCAATCTGCTATTCATTTTCCCAGCTGGGGGGCAGTAGCACTTTTCCTGATTGAGTACATGGTATTTTATGCCTTTGATTTAAAGGCTCTATATTACGCAAAATTGACTCTTGTGAGCTTTAAGCCACGTTAGAATGTTGTTACCTCCTCAAAAATATACTTGGAGTTGCGTTTTGGTTCAGTCACACATTAGTCTGTCCACGTCTCCAAAGCTCAAAATGCTCTGTTCCACCTTGTGAAGTCATGAAGATGTAATTTTTAAGTTAACAGCTACCTTTTGTTAGTAGAGATGAGCATAAGGCTGAAATTATCCAAATGATTCTAGTGAAGATGTATGGAGTTTCGAAACACATTGGAGCACTTCCTGTATTACCACATTACAAGGTGGAACAGAGTTTTCCATCTAATAGAAGAGCACAGCCTAAATATGCAAGGTTTGTGTGTTAAACATGTGTGACTGAAACAAAACACAACTCCACACTCCATGTTTTTGATATAAGACAACAAAATGATAACATAGATTATAAAATAGCGTAATATGGACCCTTTAAAAAATATCCACAAAGCTTAAACATGACGACTAATCTTGTAACACTACCACAAAACTATTTTACTTGCATTTCAGTTAATTATAAGTCTATATATAGAATGTTGTGATATTATAAAAAAAAAAAAAAAAACAGTAAGCAGTGCACATTAATATACCCAGCTAATTAGGTTTATATTTTTATAATTCGCATTTGAAGTTCAGCGTGAATATTTAAAAAGTAGGCCAAAACATTCAAATTTGTTACCATTTGAAAACAGAAAATATGTTCGGGCACAGTGTTAACTTTGCTAAATTAATTTCAGAGAGTTCAATAGACATTTTTCGAACACAATTTGGTACATTTGTAATACGCTTTCTTCCTTGTTTTTCTAGTCTTTTACTAAGTAGTATTCCATTGCACTGTTTATCTTCTCTATTTATAGTATCTGTATCCACATTGTCAGCCAGCACAAAGAAGAAAGCCACACCAGTATTCTTCTATTGTCCACAGCTGCTTCTTTCTGCTCATTTACAAATATCGCCCTTTATTGAAATGTCAGCGTTTGAGGAAAGCTTGTGATTAAAAATTCAGTCTGGCTTTCTGTCATTGTCAGCTTGGAAATATTTACTCCACAAAATTACCCATAATTCCATCGCGCAAGTCTTTCCACGGACTTCTGACGTGGATTTAGTGAGATGTGTAGCTCAGTTCCCTCGGCTCAGGAAATTGACTGGTAATGTGTCCTGCAGACGGCGATAGAAAAGATAAATTTGTTTCATATGGCTTTTGATTCTGTTAAAATGTTTCAGAGTTGATCCTGTTAACAAAATATGCAATCTTTCAATGTCAATACTCTTAGCTTGTGTAAAATGATGGCGCTTTTTCTAACTTATACTAGGTTGAACGTCACAAACTTTTCGGTGATATCGTATCTTCTTCTTCTGCTGTGTGATGCTCCTCGAAGAATGTGGTCCCATACAACCATCGGGTAAACACTTGAAATACACCAGAGCCACTTCAGCCCTCATTAAACAGTGGAAGCCTCAAAGCTGCAGAAAGATCAGCTCTACAAACACAGAGTCAAGTTAACTATTACTCCGACTTTACTCAGCCTGCTGCTAAATGTCATTCAAATTACAGATGGGAATATCAGTACTGAAGTATTGATAATATAATGATACTGAGTCAGCACAGATGTGAGTATTGATTCTGCTCGGTGTCAGTTTTACTGTAGGTCAGGTGTTCAATTTGTCCTTTTGATCCCTTTTTATAGATTGAACTACCTTCACCCATAAGGTTAGACCAGCATCTAATATCTGTCAAAAAAAGAAAAGATTATACCCAAAAGCACAATCATCAAAAGTAGTCTCAAAAAGTAGTAGTATTGTATTGTATAAGTAGGGATGTAACAATAACCAAAATATTGTGATATTGTATCGTCAAACGTCTCTCAATAATATCGTAGGTCATCACAATATATCGAATCACAAGTTTCTTTGCTTAAATTCATTCTTATGGTGCAGCAATAATAGCAAAAAAACAAAGGATCGACCATGACCCTTTGCTCCATTTTGGTGCAAACTACATGAAGAAATAACAGTTCTAAGCACTTTTAAATCTTAGTTCTTTGAATTAAATCTTGTCAAGGCATTTTAAGAGGAAAAAGTAGCATATTCACAATTTTGTTAGCTGCCCACAAAATATCAAAATGTGAGATGTATATTGTGAAAATATCATACAGTGATATTTGGATATTGTTACATCCCTAGTAGTAAATATCGTAAAAATTGTGGTATTGCCCATCCCCCCCAACAATGTATGCGGTAACATCCAAAGGACCTAAGGCTTTAGACCATGTTATATAATGAATTTTCATCAAGGGAAGGATTTAATTTGAATTTTCTTACAGAGCTATTACTGCTCCAGCATGTAAAATGGATTTGTCTGTTATGAGACATGGTCATATCAAATTGTCCCAAGTCTTGCTTTAAGCAAAATCCAAAATGGAAACTTAAAAACTGGTTAAGTCTGTAAGTAAAGGTGCAGTGCGTAACATTGCTAGTGGATGGTCTGCCACCTACTTGTTTCATTGAAAATGTTATTGCTTTGTCTAGAATATTCCACAGTATAGATCCAATCTACGATGAGAGAGACAAGCAGATTACAGCACTATGCTACATTACAGTTCAGATCTGTGGAGCCTTGCCTCTATTCACAGAAGGAATTTTTGTATTTTGAGCAACAGAAACACTCATAATGAATAAATGATGTACAGTATATGTTTATTATCACACCATGGAACATTCCAAGCAAAGCAATAACATCTCCATGGAGACAAGTAGGTAGCAAACACTCCACCAGAAAAGTTGCACAGTGCACCTTTGATATTTATTTTACCACTTTATATCACCACATTTTACAGTTTTGCAATACAATACAACTGAAAATGACCAAAAATCAGCTCCCCTGCCTTAATATTCTATAACCTTCTCAACAAACAAGTCAAAATGGAAGAAAAAAACAAACAAAAAATGGACTTTAAAAGTTTAAGACAATTCGCTGCATGCAAATGATTCCTAATTTTGTCAACTTTGTGAACAATGAATCAGATCACAAGGATGACTTGACTGACAAGATTGCAAATATTCGTTATCACGTAACCAAAAGCAAATGACACACAATGAAACAACAATACTATGAGAAGTCAGGCCTGATTCACAGCACGTCACACATGCTAATGAGCTAATACTAGTGACCATTTTAGGCAGGAGCAGGTGGTATTTGTGTTCCCAAATCCTCAAACACAGTTGTCGCCCACCGAGTGACAGTGAGCCGTTTGTTCTTTTGACAGCCACATCATCAACCCGCTGCGATCATGCTAATTGCATTATCGAGCTTAGTCATTTTCTCATTTCAGGTAATTCAGTCTCCACAAAACAGGTTGCTTCATGTGGTAGAATTTTATTATGTCATAATTTCATAAGCAGGGGCTTTACAACTCTATTTGAAGTTTACTAATTTTGATTTTAATTTGGTGGAATTATAACTATTGTAAATAAAAAATGATCGCTTTACACCAATCAAGAAGCAATCTGAGGACATTGCACTAGGGAAAATTCTATGTAAAGGTTAGACAGCATTTACACAACACCATTTTTCTGATACTTTAAACATGATTTCAATAAAATAAAGGTGTAAACCTAAAAATCCCCAAATTGGAAAAACAAGCATGAATGTTTTTGCAAAAATCTTTAATATAATGATCTTAACTGTGTTTTAGTAAAATGGGTATTCTTAAAGTCTTTGGGGTTGAATAGTGGCACCATTTTCTGAAGCCATTGTGAAAAAAATATTTAACTTTTGTGGACATTTTGTGCTAATTGAGAAGACAATGAACTTTCTGCCCGCTTTTGTTTCATGTCAATAGGCCCAGTAATTACAGAGATATATTAACCATAAATCAGAAATCAGCTAATTCTAAACAGCAAATTCCACCACAGAATTCTGACCTTCGCTCCAACTCTATTTTAAAGGTGCACTATAAAACGTTTTTGTTAGGAGTCCGTCACCTGCTTGTTTCTATGAATATGTCATTGCTCTGCCTGAAATGTTCCACAGTATGACATTAACCAGCTCTATCTTACATTTATTCAATTATTTTTGGTTTTATATGTCAAAAATACCTGGAAGAACAAGCATTCTGACTGTGAGCGGGGTTGCCTCTCCATGGATCTGACCAATAACTTGGTCTGGTTTGGTCTCCATGAAGTTAAAAAATGTTTAATACCATACTGTGAAACATTCCAGACAAAGCCCATGATAATCATCTCCGTGAAGAAAAGCATTTGACGACCCCTCCACCGGAAAAGTTACACAATGCATCTTTAAACTACAGAGATTAACAAGACAGCATGCGGTTTTGAAATCATGCTAGGAAAAAAATGTTAGAATTATTTTTTTTTACCAGGTAATAAACATTTGGGGTCGTCACAGTATGAAGTATACTCTTTGGAATGGTTGATGGTTGGAGATGGAAGAAAAGAAGTAAAGGATGGGTGGAGGAGGGAGGGAGGAGAGGAGTTAGCAGATGAGTGAGAAAAATGGTCTATCCGAGTAATAGAGGAGGATAGACCAGAGATGTGGTGATGTGAGAGTGGTGGTGACAGTTGGTATATGGCTGCGATAAAGGTCATCATTATAGAAAATCAACTAATGCTATGCTGCAGAAAACGCCAATAGTGTAAAAGTCACACAGACTCTTCTCCTGCAGTGCTTCATTATAACAGATCTTTGTGTCCAAACTGGTGCATTTTATAAGTGCTTCTGAGGTAACAATACTTCATTCTTTTAAAATGGGGTGGGCCTATATTTTCTGATCTATGATATAATGTTGTTCCCTCATCAGAAACATGCTTCAAGTTGTGTTTTGTTTCATTCACACATGTTTAACCAAATCTAACCACAAGATCAAGGAGATGTAAAGCACTTTGTTTTGCAATTTTTATATGAAAAGTGCTCTGTAAATAAAGTTTGATTGATTGATTGATTGATTGATGCCCTAGCAGCATTGAAGGATTGAAGGGTCAAATGCAGATAAATTTCTCTATGGGGACGATAAAGGCTAACCTTAATCTTAACCTTAACCTCAATTTACACACAAACCCTGTATATTTAGGCTGAGTTCTTCTCTCAAAAAGACTCTCTGTTCGACCTTGTAATGTCACAACTTCATTAGAATCATTTTTGATCATTTCATCCCTGGATTTCTGTTAACTTGGAAACAGTCACCAGATGACATCAGAAGGTGGAACAGAGCATTTTGAGCTTGAGATGTAGACAAACTAATAATAAAGGGTTACTCAAACACGTGTGAATGAAACAAAACACAACTCCAGGTATGTTTTTGATGAGGTAACAACATTCTACCGTGGCTTAAACCTTACAAAAGTTAATTTTATATTAATGCTGGACCTTTAAAGGGGCTGTACCCAATTATAAAAGTAAATCAGTTTTACCCCAGTACAGTAATATTGTAAAAGTAGGTCTTAAGGTCAAAATGAGACTGCTGAGACAGTTCTGTGATACTACCGGCTAAACATTATGTATAAGTTGTGTTGTTAGCATGCTAGTTGTTGTCAGCAGTGCCATGAAATAAAATCTGCTTTTTTGAAAATTGTAAAAAGCATGTATAAGTAATTACAGTGAATAATTAGGATGCTACGGATGTGATTGCAAATTGAAGAATACATTTGGAGCACTGCAAACTGTAACTGAAACTAAAAATGAACTAGTTCTGATTTTCTGCATTTTTTCCCATATTTTAAAATCTGGAACAGTCCCTTTAAATAATGCATAAACTTATTCATTGTTATATTGTACGGCCACAGCACATCTGGAGAATGAGACACAACTCACTTAAGCAGATTTGATTGCCTAAAATGTGTCATAAATCTGATTATTGCATCTTTATTATAGCTCATCCATCAAAGTGAATTTTACTTATTATATTGTGAGAGGAAATGAGTTGATCTTGGTGCCTCTTTGAGTCATGCAAAGTAGTATTGTATATTTTTGCACTGTAGACACTTAAGCACATGTTGCAATGAAAGCAAGTCTTGTGATAAAAACACCATCTGGGCTGGTTTTAATGCGTCAACCTGCCAACTATTGTGATAAAACACAGTGTTAAATTTCAAAGCTTGCTCTAAGGCGTTTGCTAGTGCCAGTCTAAATTTAGACAGTGGTGGAAAGTAACAAAGTAAAAGTAGTAAAGTACTGGACTTAAGTAAAAATGATATGAATACTGATGATACTTTACTTGAGTACATTTTTAAGTGGATACTTTTTACTTTTACATTACTACACCTGAGAGCCTGTATCTGTACTTTATACTGCACTACATTTACAGGACTGAAAAATAAAAGTCATTTTTATTATTGGCTGAGACTTAGTGAAAATGCCGAGGGTTTATTTTTAACACATTCGTAATCTTGAGCAAACTAAAATATACAAATAAAAACAGCAAGGGAAAAAAACAATCTATTGTTTCTGTTGATCAAAATTCAGCACAAATCTTTATCAGTATCACTACACTTGAAACATTATTACATCTCACAATCTGAGGCATGAGGTGTTCCGGGTATGTCCCACCAGGAGGAGGCCCCGGGGAAGACCCAGGACACGCCGGAGGGACTATGTCTCCTGGACACAAGCTGGAGGATGTGTTTGGGGTGAAGGAAGTCTGGGAGTGCCTGCTTAGACTGCTGCCCCCGCGACCCAGCCCCGGATAAGCCGAAGAAAATGGATTGATGGATGCATGGATGAACAATCTGACACCAAATACTTTTACTTTTTAGTCATAAAAAGAAATTCTGCAGCTTTGACCTGTGTTAAATTGTGAATCTTTGTACTACTAAAACAGTTAAAGTCTTAATGTGATTGCACTGACCTCATTGATCATATTGTTAGCCCTTTGTCTCAGTTGCACAATGTTAATTCAAATATTCTAAATTCAGTGGTGAAAGAAGTAAAAGTACAGATATAGGAGCAAAAACTAAATATTCAATAAAAGTAAAAATCACTTAAAGTATTCAAAGGTGCACTATGTAACTTTTTGGTTGGGGGTCTCTCACCTGCTTGTTTTGGTGGAGATGCCATTATTCTGCCTGGAATGTTCGACAGTGCGATTTTAAATAGCTCTTCCTTACATTTATTCAATTACAGGTGGTTTTATAGCTCAAAAATACTTAGAAAAACAGGCATTCTTTCTGTGAGCGAGGTTGCCTCTCTGCAGATCTAAACCTGTTGGTCTGGTTTGGTCTCCATGAAAAAATGAATGTGAAAATGTGAGAAAAGCATTTGATGGACCTTCCACCAGAAAAGTTGCACAATGCACCTTTAAATACTTTTCATGGTAATTTTACTTTTAAGGAATTTTTTTTTTTTATTTTTTTTGCTCCTGTATTTGTACTTTTACTTTTACTTCTTCCACCACTGAATTTAGAATATTTGAATTAACATTGTGCAACTGAGACAAAGGGCTAACAATATGATCAATGAGGTCAGTGCAATCACATTAAGACTATAAACGTTTTAGTAGTACAAAGATTCGCAATTTAACACAGGTCAAAGCTGCAGAATTTCTGGCACTATGTTGAATTTGAGGAATATCTGTGTGTCTTTGACCAAGGTCATCTTTCAAGTTAACTTTTACTCTGGAACATTTTATCCTTCCCGGTAGCGTGAAATAAAACTAGGTATGCCTCAGAGGCTACATCGTTTGTAAGGTTAGTAAAATGTGCTTAGGCTAAATGCTGAAATTATCTTGCTACGCTACACACAAATTTAGTATAAGACATCAATAATTTCTTTCATAATTTAATTTAAAAACTCCCTCAGAGCAGTTAAAGAGCCCAGATTCTGCAGTTTTCTGGTCTATGATATAATGTTACTCATCACAAACAGATCTGGAGTTGTGTTTTGTTTTATTCACGTTTAACACACAGATTTATCCATACATCTTTGCTAGAATTATTTGGATAGTTTCTGCCCTGGAATTGCCAATCTCTACTGAACTAAAGGCAAAACGTAGCTGTTAACTTGAAAACTTCCACTACATGACATCACAAAGTTGAACAGAGTATTTTGAGCTTTGGAGATGTAGACAGACTAATAATAAATGATTGCTCAAACATGTGTGAATGAAACAAACCACAACTCCAGGTATGTTTTTGAAGTGGTAAGAGTATTATAATGTGGGTTAAAGCTCACAAGAATCCACTTTTTGTAACAGAGGACCTTTAAAATGTCAGTTTAATAGGCTGACACATGCACACTAAGGCTAAATAGCTGTAACATTCAAGTTGCATTTGAGTCAATTCAATCAATAATTCCTCTTTCATCAAATGTCAACAAAAACAACAGGGTCAGAATTGAACCAATCACAAAGTTCATACGCAAAATATTGATCAGGACTCACTTCTGGCTGTAATCCAATTTGACTGCCTGAAATCTGATATAAATCTGATTAAAGTATGTTTATTGTTGGTGTTTATTGAAGTGGATTCAGTTTACAGGCTAATCCAATTCCCAACGCTGAAAAAGCAGTGTTTATTTCTGTGGTAAAATCAAAACAAATTTAGTTACACAGAAATAAATTAGCGGCGGTTTAGCATTGGGGAATCCGTTGATCACATTACGCAGAAAGCAAAAAGGCATGGCTTGTCTTAAAATTCAAATGAGAGTTTGTCAATCATAATTGGCACTGCAAGATTGAAAAACAAGGGCGTTTGATGGGAGATCTACACACACTTCAATCAGTGATATACGGTTGTAATCTTGAGAAAAAAATAATTCCTCTTATCTTATGACAATGCAGTAATTAAAGTCTGATCACAGAAAATGGAATTTGATCAGTGCAGCCAATTAAGTTGTGAGCTGCAGATAAGCAGATTGGGCTGTAAGAAGAAATAGATATGCTATAAGTTTTGGTAGAGCCACATTTAGGAGAATGATATAATTAGGATAAAGAGACAAAATTTCAAGTGTTTTGTCTAATTAACTGCTGAAGTGTTTGGACCTATATTATCTTGTGTACGATGGAAATAGGAGATGTAACAAGGTGAATGCATGCAGCTCTCAGTATCTGCATCCAAATCAGGAACTAATTTGATGTAATGTGATTGACTTTTAACTAAGGCAGAGTGATGATCTGTGCAGGGCCTCTACAGTTTAAAGATTCATTACGTAACTTTTCTGGTGGAGCAACTGCAGTCTGCTTGGCTGGTGTTTTCCACTGTACGGTGTCAAACTTAAAAGGTTATCTGGAGGATTTATTTTTTTGTTTTTGTTTCAAATTGTCAATGAGAGTTTAAAATATCATTATAGAGATGCAGCAGCCTTGTAATCATGATGACCCCCCCACACACACATACACACACACACAAAAAAGAATGAAAATCTATCAACTTTGGACGTAGTGAGGCCAGATAAACATCAGCCATTACATAACGAGGCTACCTCATTATCTATTGGCTGTTAGGTTGTCAATCAAACTCACTACGTTTCTAGTGTAACTGACTCGCCGGCGCGCTGGGATTACATGGTTTAAGCAGAAGTTCTTAGAGGCTTTTTCAAACTGTAGCTTACTCGTAGTTCACACAAAGTTTGTTGTGATGTCGTACGAGGATTCAAGACCAGTTAGCTGCAAAAGAAAGTCAATTTTTGATGTCGCTGAAAGAAGAAGAGAAGGGGAAAAGGAGCAAAGCCAAACTGAGGTGATTCTTGGAGATTCCTTCCAGCAATGGCGCGACTGAAGCAGACGAAGGGTCTAAAGACTGACATGTCGGTCGTTAAATTATTTCTAGACAGGTCATTTCAACAGTAATTCTGAACGCGCACCGGTTGTAAACAAGCGTGATTTTTAGAGTAAGGAGGACGTGTTTCTACTGAGGGAGCTGTGGAGGAGGAAGATTTTTTTGAAAAAGGAGTGTTGCTGCATTTCTCTTCCCTTAGAAAAATCCTCTATACATCCTTTAACTATTTTGATTTACAAGTCAGCTCTGTGAAAAGGCAACCCCCTCACACAGATCTGACTAGCTCCTTCATCTTTGTTTATTTAATTATCATGTGTTGTCTGCAATGATTGTTTATTGTTTGATCTTTTTCAATGTGTTTTTTAACTACAAACGGCAAATAAACTGACCTAATCTAAGAATGCGTGATTTTTAAGTTTTGTTTTTTATCATTTAAAAACTTGCAATTGATTGAAAAAAGATCTGTTTAATGCCATATTGTGGGACATTCCAGGGAAAGCCATAACTCAATTCTCAATAGAAACAAGTAAGTTGAGGACCCTCTCCCAAAACATTGTGTTAGATAATGCAAAAGCATTCCATTAAAATGATTTTATACCATTCAGTTTTTAAATGATTGTAACCACACATTTAAAGTGCAAGTAATAACAATGCATTTTGAAGAGTTTTATCAGCATTGACTTTTACAGAAATTTGAGTGACATTAAATTGGATGTTTTGGACCAGAATCCAACAAAAGCTGGTGCTTTTGACAGATTTATTTTTCAAACTTTTCTATTTTTCTTGATTCTAAACATCAGCTTTAAAGACAAAATGTTCCCTTGCAACAATCCATCAATACAGAACGAGGATGAGAATATAACAGCCAAATGTGTTGTGCTGGTGGCCACATACAATATTTCTAAAAAGTGTAGTTATGTAATAGCTCTTATGTAATAATAGATCCTATAATATGCAAATTTGACTCTTGTGAGCTTTAAGTCATGTTAAAATGCAGATACCTCCTCAAATATACTTGGCGCTGTGTGTAATCCTTTATTATTAGTGTGTCTAGAGCTCCAAAGCTCAAAACGCTGTGTTGCACCTTGTGATGTCATGTAGTAGTTTTCAAGTTAACAGCTACCTTTTACCTTTAGTTCAGTAGAGATTGGCAATTACAGGGCTGAAATCATCCAAATGATTAGAGTGAAGGTATATGGAGTTTAAAAACACAGTGGAACCCTTCCTGTATTACCACATGACATCACAAGGTAGAACACAGTGTTTTCCGTTTGAGACAAGAATTCAGTCGAAATTTGCAGAGTTTCTGTGTTATACATGTGTGAATGAAACAAAACAAAACTCTAGGTATGTTTATGATAAAGAAACAACATTATAACATAGATCAGAAAATAATGTAATACAGGTCTTACAATAAGTCTGAAGGGAGATTAGTTTGAAACTTTTGGGACTGATCCAGGCGATAAGAAGACCATAATTACTGACCAATGAAGCACCAAGGACCATACTGAACCATTTCAGTCGCGCTGTCTTCTGTGTAGCTGGCATCGCATACTGAAAACGATGACCTTCACAAGGTACTGTCACTTGTAAAATATGCGCCATAAATGTTGAATGTGAAATGGTGTTTAAATATGAATGATGTATAGATGTCTGGGGTGAAGAGTGAAAAATTGATAATGCATAAGTGAAGAGTCAACAATGTTATAATCACAATATAATGGAAAAATCAGTTATGTCATTACTGAATGGTAGAAATGTGAAATGAAATAGTAAAGTAAGATTTAACTCACTGTCCTTACCTGCCAGAGTGGTGTAGTCGAGAAGGTCAAAGAGGACGATGGCGACCCCAAACCATGTGATGATGAGAGCGATCATGAGGAGCCAGGCCATGGGGGAGCTAAAGGTAATCATCAGGTCCTCCATGAAGGTCCTCTGAGAGCCTCTGGGGGCGGCGTCTGGGTCTCTGGTCTGGCTGCCCATTGGTACGGTAACCTGGAAGTCAAAAGGCAGGTTCAAATAGGGCGAAGAAAAGATGAAAAACAACAAAGGTGCATAGGGAGAGACTATTGCCATTTTATCAGCCGCTCTCAATTTTCACACCAAGTACCACAAAAGAAAAGATTTGGGTTCCCGAGTACCACCAGATTTAATCAAGTAAATAACAGGACTATTTCAGGTCTAGGGCTAAACCAGGTCTAGAAGTGGACTACATCAACTCACTGAACATTGTACAGTACAATTTGAGAAATACTACATCATATACTTTCTGTTTTTTGCACTTTGTTATAATATTTTAAATTGAGCTACTTTGTTCAATAATTTCCCCTGTGGATCATTAAAGTTAAGTGCAAGTCGAAACAAGGCAATAGGGCCTCAAGGTGAAGAGAGCCCCGTAAGATGCATCAAGGTTCCTGGGAACATGTTTGGGTTTCCTTTATTATTTGTTTGTCTACATCTCCAAAGCTCTAAATGCTGTGTTCCACCTTGGTTTTGATGAGGAAACAACATTAATACATAGATCAGAAAATAGTGTAATATGGGCCCTTTAAAAAACATATATGCCCCCAGACGGTCTATGGTGTCTTCAGATGGATCTGCCCAAAAATGAAGGATTTCAAGGACTATACACAAAGTTTATCAGAGCATCAAAGTTAAAAATGAAAACTCCAGTTATGTCCAAAATACTTGAAGGATAAACTGAAATACAACATTTCAAAGACTGTTACAAATTAACGTGGGAGTCAATCGACAAACATGAAGTAAAAGCTTTCAGTGCATTTGCTGTCATTGTGTCTCTAGGAAAGACACTTCACACATGTTGCCGACTCCAGTTCTGTTTAAAGTTGACACTTAACAATGAACAAAAACACATAAGCAACACAAGCCATGTGTAAAAATATTGATTTTTGCATTCTCACATTACAGCACAGGACAAACTGCCTTGTTCAAAACCACCACAACGCATAAAACTGACATATAGCAACCTAGTCACTTCAACTCTGAGCTAATAAAGCGGTGTTTAAATGTCCTTTTTATTCTAAGTGCCAGTGCCCTGTAACCATTTTCCAAGCGTGTGCCCTTTTGATTAGTGACATAATGATATAGATCCCTTCGTGCTCTGTTATTGCTGAACATGCAAGATTTGTGCAGCCTCAAATGTGCTGATCTCACCTTTTTAAAAACCCATGAGGTGAAAAAAATAGATATTAAAATCTATCCGTTAAACACATTACCATCAAGAGTGATTACGGGGGAGTATGGTGTTTTAATTGCAAAGGCTGACGCAAAAACAGCACGCTAAGATGCTATCAATAGTCCATTTAATTCACTATATTGGATTGTATTGAGAGAGCCTCCCACTATGCGACGCATGTGATTCAAATCTCTACTTGACAGAGAATAATTGCCAAAACAGCATGAAAGTGGCACATCTTTGAGCCCGTATATGGCTTGAAAAATGACTGCACGCATGTAAGCTACTGTTCTGATTAATACACACAACGCTCTATGCACTTGGTGAATAATTCAGGTTTGTGTGTGAAAAAAAAAAAAAAAAAACAAGACAGAGAGGAGACGAGCAAACCCAGATTACCCCAGGTGATGAGGAGATTAAATTCCATCAAAGTTTGAAAAATCCATTCAAGAAGACAAATGGCTTCTCTAAAGAAATTCCTCATTGTTGTATGGCTGTGGTGAAGGGGTGCAGTAATGTCATTATAGCCGGTGTTGGGTTGTTTGTGTTCATTATGCGCGATGAGAGTGCAAAAGAAGATTTATTTTCACGTGTACATCTCCAAAGTGATAGCCACAACATGATGATAGACAGACCTGTTATTTATGAGGCCCAATGGAATACGCCTCAAACCCACTTTACAATACACTCCTAACAAGATGTGATTTAGACCGGCACATTATAATCAACAAATTATATATTATAGAGTAATGCGGTCAAGATGATGCTGATAAATGAACGTGGATTTTGCATGGACATGTCATGAAATAGCATTAACTTTTCTGGCCACTTGCTTGTCTCCTGGGAGATGTTGTTTGCCTGGAATGTTCTACAGTATGGTATTATGGTATATTATCATTTCAATTTTAATATAGCGCTTATCCACCTTCAAGGCACTCAAGGAACCACTCACCCATTCATACACACATTCAATCATACACCAGTGTCCATAGACTCTAGGGGTGATGGGTTAAGTGTCTTGCCCAAGGACACAATGGCAGTATTCATCTGTGGGAGCTGGACTGCCAACCTGTGGGTCTGCAGATCAAACCACTCAACCAATGAGCCATTGTTTTCCAGTAAACTTTCCCTTGAATTTATTCAGTTACATGCAATTTTATTCTTCAAAAGCACCTTTAAAACATTCTTGTTATGATTAGGCTCATTTGTCCACAGATCAGACCCGTAATTTCTTGCCTTGACTTCTTTTAGTCTTGATACAGACTTGTTTGATATTATATTGTGTAACATTAAAGGCAAGTCATTAATAAGATATTTAGGGGGGCCATATTACTTATTTTCTTATGTTATAATGTTGTTTTCTCATAAAAAAAACATACTTTATTTACACGTTTACCATAGAAATCCTGCATATTTGGACATTAGACCATAGAGTTCTTCTCAAATAGAAAACACTCTGTTTCAACTTGTGATGTCATGTAGTAATACTAGAAGTGCTCCACTGTGTTTATAAACTCCATACATCTTTACTGTAATCATCTGGATGATTTCAGCCCCGGAATTACCCATCTTTACTGAACTAAAGGTAAAAGGAGCTGTTAACATGAAAACAACAGCTTCGTGACATCACAAGGTGGAACAGAGCATTTTAAGCTTTGGAGATGTAGATGGACTAATAATAAAACATTACTCAAACATGTGTCAATGAAACAAAACAACTATGTTTTTAAGGATTACATTACATAAGGGAAGGCTTGAAGCTCACAAGAGTAAATTTTGTGCAATATAAGACTTTTTGGTATTTTTCCACTCTGAAGACATTTCTAGCAGAGAGTATTATGTGTTTATGTCCTGATACCTTGGTTTCAGATACAGTACTAGCACACATTTCACCTCAGTCTGTCAGCTTGTCCGCATCATTCAAAGCAAGCATCAGAGCAGATAATTGAATATGATTGGTCAGTATCAAGGGACCAGAATATCTTCCCAGTATAAGCTCACTGGTCATTGCCGTGAACAGCAGCTGCGTCACCCATCACACTTTCAACAGTTATTTAGAGCTGTCAGATATGCAGATATTTCTATGGGTCCTCTGGAGTTATATAACGAACAGCATTGACGTGTTCTGATTCAGGAGCAGGTCTCAGGCTGACCTTTCTGTTGTAGCATTCAGATAACAAACTACAAAATCAATTTAACATAATTCTACCCACTCAGTGCACTATTGTGTGTTTGTATTGGCGCGCATGCAACTCACCATTGATTCGGCGGAGCTGGGGTGAGTATCATTGTACTGAATTGTTGTGTGTGGAGGGAAAGAAAGAGCGTGATCTAAACCTGACCATTGATCTACTGAAGGCCTGGCAACAAGCGAGCTGGGCCGCCGTATTGATCCAGAGCAGGTAAAACAGTCACGATTTTACAATGACAGAGTTCAAATGTCCTCGGGCACACTTTGGGGAAAACCATCCTCTTCACCGCTACTGGGAAGTTCAAGCCAAATTCTGAAACTGTTTGCACAATGTGTGATAATGACTGAAAAATTAAATCCAATGACTTGCAAATCTCATTGTCGATGCAGTGAGGGACACACCAGTGCCATCTAGTACTGCTGGCATCACTGGTGAACATGAGCATAAATTAAACAAATAATCTCTTCATAAAAATACATGACAATAAATTACAACCATATTGAATATTTGTTATATTGTTTATATTTTGAGTAATTAGGAGCTAACCAACCAACCAATGAGAACGTTACAACCAAAGAACTGTGATCAATCAGCCTGGAAAAGGGCATGCCAATCAAAAATCTCTATGGATCACTGCAGTGGGTCTTGGGGTCCAAAAGTCTATATAAAACAAAGTTATACCCACAGCTTCAGAAATGTTATTATAGGTGCTAGAGTCAGAGTTATTTTGGGCACAAGAAAAAAGTTTTTGCCACTCATAAGATTTCATTTGTTGATACTTTTCAGCTGATGTAATCAACATTTTCTGAGGAAGGGGGGTGAAGCTAACTGGAGGTACTGCTCTGTTACTCAAGATAGACTGTAATCTGAGTTTTGTTTCAACACAATTTGACCATAAAGAACTGATTTAGCTGGAACTAAAATAGGTGATATCTGATTTGTGCTGTTAAACAAGTCCTTCTCAAATGTCACAAGCCAGCCAGCGTGAGCCAGCAGTTTTTCAGTTAGTCACTCTCACCTTTTTGTTGAAAATCAAACACCTAAATAGGCCCATGGATGTGATCAGAAGCTCTTGAAAATGTGTTGTTGAGATTAATGTAATATTTTTTCTTGGGGTTTCAGACATTCAAACAAAAATATCACACATTGGTAACTGCTGAACATTCTTCCATAGACAAATATTCAGAATCCCCCTGACTGATATCACTATTAATACATACTGTACATTTTTGATGAATGAGCTCTCTCAAAACTCCATTCAACATTAGTTACTCCATTCTCTGACTCATGGAGTTTGCATATGTACCTTATGTCTGTGTGCTGTTTTGAAAACCTGCTGACCGGCCCACCTGTTGTTAGATTCAAGTGCTGAACTTCACACAGCACAAAAGGACACCAACTGCGCCTGCCTCCTCCTCCACCTCTGCGCTCAAGGAACGAACAGAATTAGAAGCATGTGGGCTGCTGGCCGCTAACTGCTCCGAAGGGCAAATGAAAGGCGACCACAGCGCAGTGACGCTACAGTGAGCCATTAAACATAGCTTTTAGACGAGGAATGACACTTTTCTGACAATTAGGCTAAACATATTATTTTGCAGAGGAACATTAGGGTTATAGGAAATGTGGATGGGTTTTGAATATGGTTTTGATGTTTATTTGAAATCCTAGAAAGCATTTGATGAGTCACAATTGCACTAGAAGCCAAAGACAGGCGCTCATATCACATTACATAAACATTGTGTTAGCTGACTCGCTAACAAAATTACCCAAGTGTGTGAATAGGATATCAGAAGTACATGGCAGGCCTATTAAAGAAAGTTACTGTATACTATATTAGTATACAGTTTGAAACTTAATAACTTCATAACTGTGCCAGCGTCATCATTATAGCTTAGACAAGTTTCAGATAATATATGGGTTAGGGTTATGCAGAAACAGAAATAAACACATAAAGAGTTTTGATAATGTAGTTTGCATTTTAAACACTTGTTGGTCATAGCCTTGGGTTGCAGTAAATTTCAAATAAAAAAGTAAAAATAGCTTTTTCATTTCCAGTTGTCGTTCTGTTAATATTACACAACACAACACATAAACCACATGGCGTCACTGTTTTCTCTAAAGTCAATCATCATAACAATTACAAAAGCATAAAATCAGAATGACTTTGACATCAAAAAATGAAAAACTTCACAGAATCAATATGAGTTTTTCAAAGTAAAATCCAAAATGAGAAATATTACTGTACCTTGGTCTCTGAATTTGCTCCGCACTTTCACAACCTTCACCCCTTATGTGCTAAAAAGCAATGTTACAGTAGAAACCTGTGTTTAACTTTGACACTTCTATGTGCAAAGCGATTTGAAGGAAGAAAATGTTGAGTGAAGCAAAACTCAAATCCAGCAACAAAAAACTCCCCGTGCCTTGCTGTAGTTCACACCGAGTCTAAAAATAGTCTTCACAGGAGAAAAAATAGATCACTAATCCATGTATTTTTATGACTACTCCCCTGGGTTTCAACTTGTATTCAATAAATAAAAAATCCAACTACTTCTTTAACTTTTGTTGCTGGAGGTTACAGCCCAAAGGCAGCCAGACTGACAGCCAGAAACATACGGTACAGTGGCCAAAAGGGGGCTGACCTGATCCAGCTAACCCTGCCCCCAATGAGCCCTCAGATAAAACTGAAGACGAAGGACAAGCTTAAATTAAGATGAGGTTGAGAGAGAGGGACAGAGGTGAGTCTAGTCAGAAGGAGAAAAAGGGCAACCTAAGTGTCCACCGAGCATCACGGCGAATTAATCATGCTATAAAGACGTACGCAAGGGTCTAGGGCATTTGACGCATGTCCAGTGTTTGCCCCTCCGAGAACCTATTACGCTTAACTGTTGTCAGACCCTGCGCCCTCTGTACCACTTCACTACATTTGTGTAAGCTTCAATATCCGTCTAACCACCTGGAGATTTGAAATTCTCCCATGAGTCTTGCCTAAGCCTTGTCGCCGACGTACAAAGTAAATAATTGAATTGTCACTTTGCCCCCATGTGGGTTTTTTAAGGTTTGATCACAAGTTCTTTCCAAAGAGCCACTTTTAAACTGTGTGCAAGCTGTAAGGAAGGAGTAACCTGACCCCCAGTCGTGCCCTGGGAGCCCGCTGCCGTGGCTATAATTAGAGGTAGACACAGCAGCTGGTGTTAACGCAGGGCTGGTCTGCTTTATGTAGGCCAGTTAGACACACCACTTACACACATACCAACGCAAAAGTCCAGGAAAGCTCCAGAGACTCAGTGCCAGTTTAAATACTTCAACATCCAATCATTACTTGATTGGTACAGTTGACCTTATGCAAATGAAATACAAAGTCAGGCGTGATTTATGCAAAGGTAATCTTGAGCTAACACATCTTCAATTGATTTGTAAGAGTAACCTTCAAGAGAGTTGTGGTATTTTTTATTTTGTGTGTTAAAAAGGTTCTTTCAACAGCTTTTCATCAGCCTTTTCAAATGTGGTGAAACAAACCCTAAGTTTTTCTTCTTATTTCCCCATAAGAGTTACTGTTACTATTTCATACAAAACTAAAACATACATGGAAGGCAAGAATTATTTTTATTTTGTGTGGTATATTCTGGCTGACGTGGTTACTGATGGACAATGGACAAGGGTGCTGTTTTTGTGAGCATTTTTTTTTTTAAATTAGTATTTTTATATTTCTATTGTTGAAAATGTGTAAAATTTCATAAATATATTAACACTAAAACACATTTGGAGGCATTATGATTACACAACCCATTATTTGCTGCTAAATGTAACTCGTGACAGCATCATCCCACTGCTGTAATCAAAATTGGCTATGCTCCAAAACTTATTTTTAAAGATCCTATATCATGCTAAATTGACACTTGTGAGCTTTTAGCCATGTTAGGATGTTGTTACCTCCTCAAAAACATATTGTTTTCACACTTCACCATTCACTTTTTCACTTTCATCATTCACACTTGTTTGAGTAAACCTTTATTAACAGACTGTCTACATCCCCAAAGCTCAAAATGCTATGTTCCACCTTGTGATGTCATGAAGCTGTAGTTTTAAAGTTATACACTAATTTGTACTTTTTGTTCAGTAGAGGAGGGCAAATCCAGGGTTGAAATTATCCAAATGATTCTTGTGAAGGTGTATGGAGTTTAAAAACACAATGGAGCACTTTCTGTATTATCTCATGACATCCCAAACTGGGACAGCGTGTTTTCAGTTTGAGAGAAGAACTCAGAAGCCTAAATATGAAGGCTCTGTATGTTAAACATGTGTGAATGAGACATGATTGTATGTTTGTGATGAGGAAACAACATTATCACATAGATTAGAAAATAGTGTATGGGCCCTTTAAAGACATGTTTTTTAGGTTTTTAGTGAATCATAATGTAAAATGATCATGTTACTTCTGCATTTCATCTCATACAACTGGTAAAAAGTCCATCTGGCTCTCAAAATAGGAACAACAACAGTTTTCAGCTGTTAGCAACCTCACCCTACTCCAGCCACCTTTTTAGAGTGAAGTCAGCATACTCACTGCACAGACTTCCACTCCAAAAATAAAGTTACAGTGAATTTCAGTTCACCAGACATCTGCCTGGACATGTGCTCTTTTGCTTCTAATTAGATAGTCCATTCTATTATCATCTGCCTTATCTCGGAGAAAGGGAACAGGCAGCAAAGGTCACATCTATACTGCAATATTTTACTATGTGACAATAGATTACTTTTAAGTTTATGAGTAAGGTGGTAAGTTTTAAAGGTGCATTATGTAACTTTTCTGGTAGAGGGTCCACCAGTTGCTTGTTTCCATGGAGATATTATTGCTTTATGTGCAATGTTCCAAAGTATAGCATTAAACTTATTTCACTAACCGGACGATTTACAGGTGAGATCTGTGAAGAGGCGACCCCACTCACAGTAGGAATACATACATTTTTAAAGCTATTTTTTAGCAATAAAAGCACCCATAATTGTATAAATGCATCTTATATAAGTTTAATACCATATTGTGGAATATTACAGGCAAAGCAATAGCATTTCTTTCCTAAAAAGTGCACCTTTAATTTATTTGATGATATTATACCAATATTTTTAGGATTCTCTTGAGTCAAAAAATTGAATAACAAAAACCTTCTCCTTCAAATATGACTGTACTTCTCACTAAGGACTAAGGTGTTAAATAATTTCTTGCCGTTAGCAGCATTAGCATTTCGGCCAGGCCAGTTTTGGCTGCAAAGGTCAAAAGAAAGTGCTGGAGGTGATCAGTTATGAGAACAGCTCAAATCCCAATGAAGAATGTGGGTGGAAGACAAAACTTTTATGCCTGAAAATGTGTTAAGTCTGAATACTTCACATTGGAAGAGATTTTCATTTGATCAGATCATTTCCTACATATTTTCTGTGATAGGAAGAAAACTTTGAAAATATATTTAATTACAGAATACTGAATACTTGAATTAAAATGTGTTTTGGAACATATTCTGATACATGGTCCAATTGGAGTACTGTATTCTGAATACCTGGAATACTTTTACATCGAGCTGCATTTAAATTATAGAGTGAAAAACACAACATAGTAGCCTGCTTAAAACAGTTTTATATTTGTTTTGTTGTTTTTAATGCATTTCCTATCACTAATGGAGATGGGAAATTTACACATGCTCACACCATAAGAGCAGAGTTGTCTGTTTCTCACTGTTTATGTGCAGTTTGAAGCTTAAATTACATGATCAAATACCATAATGTATTCCCTTGATCTGAATACCCCCAAATGAAAAAGTAACTGCACCTATAAGGTTACGCAAAATTAGTATTCTGAAAATGTATTCTCAGTATTAATTTATTTCCTAACACAGCATACATTCTTGCAACTGCAACATTATAGGCACATAAAATGAAAAATAGAGAGCACATCGAGAGACTGGTGTGTCCGTTCAAATAAACAATAATGCACGCTTTGGTATATGTGTAAAAATGCATAGATGATTGCTATTTGTTACCCACGGGGCTACATATCAGGCTGTGCATAAAATTACCACCACCAAGAAGAGGAGGGTGGTCACAGGCAATGCCTGGCAGCACAATCCCACAGAGCTTCCTTCATAGTAACACAACCTCTGTCGTCTTAACCGTATTTACATGGCTTCATCTGTGCACCTAATAAATGTTTATGTTTAGCCTCGTTTGGTTGGTTTGGCTTTTAGTTATTTATCTGTCATTTCATTTATTTCTGTCAGATCAGTGCACGGCGTACGCTCGCAGCTCGCACCCATGAGAAATGCTGTGATGAAATCAGCCATCCAAAGTAATTCTGATGAAACTAAACGCAATGAACAAGAACAACGCTCGTGTCTCTCTGTATCGGGCAAGACGCAGTGCTGTTGCTTGGGAAATAAAAATGATCTGAAATAAGCCTCCTTTCACTTGATATTAAACATAATCGACTGCTGCACTGCCCATTTGGAAGTGAAAAAGTGAAGGACGAGTACAAGGAGAGATTTGCTTGTTTGCTCGCGGTGTTGGCCTTAGTTCAGAGCATCTGTGAGGAGCGGTGACTCCGGAGACAGAGCCTTGGCCGATGGAGATTCCCAGCATGCACCTGTGGCTGTTGGAGCATTCATTGTTTGAGGCTACGACCAGGGCGACACTCTACTCCACGGCCCGCTGAACAACTGCTCATCCACACAAACTAACTTTATTTTATGTTACCAAAGCTAGGGTCTCTCAAGCATTACTCCTCTGTCAAATTTTCTTAGACTGTATAACATCATCATTTTACTTTAAAGGTGCACTATGGAACTTTTCTGCATTTCTCTCCAGCAACTAGGTCAGGTATGGGGATGCACTAGACAGTTTGCAAAAACCCTGGAAGTGCAAGTTCAGGCACCAGTCAATCAGCAAAGAGCCATATATTCTGTGTTGGATCAAGGATTTAAAGCCGGAACGAAGAGAATGTCCGGTGAATTTTATCAAGGGGAAAGACGTTATTGCCCTTCTTCCTATGGGATTTGGGAAAAGCTTAATATATCAGTTAGCCCCATTAGCGGCGCCAAATAGCAGCGATTGGTTTAATAAAAAAGTACCTGCCTAAAGTTGAGTGAACAAATTCTAAAGCTGTGAAGTCAGATGGTTTCTACAAAGTGAAACTGGCTGATGAATTAGGCTAGTCATCTGCTGGTCCCCATGAAGATGTTATTGTTTTGCCTGGAATGTTTCAGTATGAAATTAAACTTAAATCTCCATGAAGACAAGCAAGTAAGGTTTTGGTCAGAGGTGACCCCACTCATTGTATACATAGATGTTTTTCAGTTCTGTTTTTTTTTTTACTGCAGTAATATCACTGTATATGGACACAACTGAATTATAATAGTAATTCAGTAAGATGTCTTACTCATGGTCAAAGGCAGCTCAGTGGGTAGAGTGTTTGTCCACTGATCCGAACATTGGCGATTCCAACTCCCACAGATGAATGCTGTTGTTGTGTCTTTGGGCAAAACTTAACCCACCTTGCCCCAGTGTCTACATACACTGGTGTGTAAATGGATGAGTGGTTTCTTGATGTGAAGAGATTTGAGTG